AATTATAATATTTAAATATTAATTTAATTCACTAATAGTAGATTAAACTTTATTATTTTTATAGCGTTAGAAAGCGTATACTGAGTTCTATAATTTACGAAATTATAAAGAAATAGCATCTATAGAAAGCTAGTTATTTTAGAGTATAAAACTTCTATATATAAATTTTTAATAAGAAAACTCGAGAGGGCTAGTAAGCTAACTTAGTCGGTCTAATTAAAGAGTATAAATCTAACGAATTAATAATTAACTATATATATAAATTTAAGGTTTTCAAGCTTAGCCCTACCTTATTCTATTATATATACTAATTTTAAGATTTTTAGAAAAAAAATGAAAAAGCTTAATAACTTTAAAGACTTCGAACTTCAAATTTAGAAAATTTAATATATTATTATTATACATATTAAGAATATATTTATAAATTTTTATAAAAAGTGATAGTTCGGTTATCGAGTAATAATATATCGAAGTTATACTCGTGCTGTCCAGAAGTGAGTTCTTTGATAGAGCGAGGACACCAATAAATCCTTCCACTTAGCCGAATATCGGTTGATCTATTGGTGTCCTCGCTCTATCAAAGAACTCACTTCTGGACAGCAGGAGTAGATTATTAAGTTTCTTTAGAATAGTTCCGGGGTAACTCGCTCCGGGTCAAAGCTACCCCGAAACCTACCAATACTAATATATACCCAAGGGTAAATATCTCATATCAGTCAAACCACCAAAAAAATGAGGCTTGGCAGGGTTTCCTACTCAGACCCACTGCGTGGGGTCTTTCTGAGACTAACTTTCACTTATTAGAGACAGTGACGCCCGCGGCTAAAAAATATATATAAAGAACACAGTCACGGGAAACGTGAAGCTCGCGGCTATTAGATCTGCTTCGACACTAGCTCGTCCTTTTCAACACTACCAGGCTGCCTCTGCTGCACGACACCTGTCAAACATCCGCCTAGATCCTAGGCTCTTGCTTTGTTCACCGAAGCCTTCAATCACCGCTTTGTTGGCCAAAGTCGAGCTTGGCGCAGCGCACCGTCCTGCCCAAGGGGCAGATCAGCATGTCGAGGCCTGAGAAGCTCCATCTTGCTTTGAGCTCGCAATCAGACGTTGTGCTAGATCTCCGCGAAGGCTTCGTGGGAAAGCCTCAGCTGACTCTCCGCAACGAAGGAGCTGACGAGATCACACACTGCTTCCCCTTCCACGCCGAACTCGAACGGAACAACGATCGCGACGGCAAGGAGGACGAGTCCCTCGACTTGGGCCGAGGCTTGAGATGCGGAGCGTTGACCATCACCGATGAGAGTGGAAGCAAGATCCCCCTCAACTATTTCGGGGAGAGCGGAAAGGGCTCGTACTACGAACTCATGTCAATAATGCCAGGTTTCGCAGAGTCCACGTACGGCTTCAGGAGAATCAGCCCCGAGCTCTTGGAATTGCTCGGCCGCCACCTGATCCCCGAAAGAACGTATCGCGTTGGCTTTTCGGGCCAGCCGATGGGAATCATGTGCGATATCGGGGACGTAGACCCGGAAACGCACGAGAGGCAGGAAACCGAGATCGAGCCGTCGTGGGATCCGCGAGAAATTCCATTCACGGTCGTAGCCGGCGCTCGAAAGCCCCGGTTCACAATGTCCGTCACCGCCCCTTCGTCAATCTGTCACACCTCCGGCATCCCGGGCTTCCACGTGGTCATGCTCGTGACGTCGCTCGAGCGAAGAGCCGTGACCGTGAACGTCCAACTCGACGCTTTTGCGGACATGTGGCCTCAGGACCCGGCTCACAGGTGGGAGAAATGGGGCTCGTATGACATGTTCAGAATCACCCGCGAGAGCGACGGGTGGGAATGTTTGCTCAACGCCAAACATCCTCCCGAGCAAACCCTCCGACCCGCGGAAGACTTCCGGCCCGCGAATGGGCTCCTCGAATTCAATCACGGCACCACCTACACCTACCACTTCCATCTCGGCACCGAGGATCTGAATCACGGCATTTGGCCTTCATACATCCACAACGAGCCCTACATCCTCAGGACGAACCCTCAAGGCTTCGCGGCCTGGGACTACGGCACGGAGGCGGAGCTTTCGCGGACGCATCGGACACCGAGCGACTGGTGCAGGCACGGACCCATCCTTTTCGAACCTGTCTGCGATGTCGCGCTGACCATCGAGGCGATCATGGAGGAGAGGGAGAATCCGATGCCCTTTTTTCGACTGCCGCTCGAGTTGAGGGAGGTGGTGTATGGGTATGTGAGATTCGCGCGGTATGCCAATCGGATCCGGTTCACGGCCGATTTGGGTCGGTAGGGGAAACGCACGGTTTCATACGGGATGAGAGCTTCGGGGGTAGGGTTTGCGGTCGGAGACCTCGCAGATGAGATTGCAGATCATGGCTTGCTCGACATGTCGTCCAAACGCTCGACGACGGGATCAATGACACCCAGACGGCATCGGGGGGTGCAAGGGCTGTTGTGAGTTTAGGGACGACATGGTGTGAAATACGTTGATGTTTTCACAGACCTGCAGTCTGAGAACCTCCGTGTCCTAACGTGCATGATATCTTTTCGATGATAGAGAAGCGGCCGAGACCCTGCAGAGAATGGACTACGGAACCGAATTGCATCAGAGCTAACTCGCTGTGGACTTCATCCCTGGAACCAGCAGATTCGCGTGAGCTGGGAGATGATCCTCGAGCGGCGAGTTGGACGTTCGAGTAGGGGATTGAGCGGATGAGGGGTCTTAGGTTTGAGTGAGCGGGGTGCGGGGGAGATGTTTGTTTCTTCGTCGTCGTTTTACTCGTGCTTCGTTGTCAAACCGTCGCTGTCTACAACACCCAAACCGTATCGAAGTCCAAGCACGCGTGACAGTGGCTCAGGATGGCAATAGTGCGACGAGTTTTTCGCTGTAGGAAATACATCTCTTCTACACGCAACACCACCATAACGACAGATCATCCCAACCAGCCGTTTCTTCCTTGCACCCTCACCGTTTTCACACCCTCCCCGCCGATCCAGACTGAGAGGAACGTGGTCTAGACTGGGCGAGGAGACATTGTAAGAAGGCACTGCAGGTAGGGATTGGAAACTGTGGTGAACTGGTAGGGGCTCGAGGTAGCTGAATTGAGGACGTGAATGACTTGGATGGAAACTTCTTGGGGGCAGATTTTCTGGAGAGAGCGGTGGGCGCAAGCCTGGGAAGGAAAACTTCAAGCCTCGACCTGTGTCAGTGAGACGTTTCATGTGTACCGCGGCTGTCCACGGAGTTGTGCGATAGAGTTCCCTTGGAGACCGGAACTCGCGTCTCTCATGGGGTGGAGACCCTTACCTAGAGATCTCCTTCATTCACCAGTATCCAAGAAAGACTGGCCAGCAGCGTATGACACCACATTCCCATCTACAATGCGAAACAGACGGTTTCTGACCCGTTGATCTCCAGCATACGGCGTAGGCTTGCATGGGGCCTCTTCTCCTGGCAAGCCCCACCAGATGATTGCATTCTTCCAGCCAATGCACTCTCCGTACTCTGTGATCTCCGTCTGCATGCCTTTGCGACCATGGTCCTCATCTGCCCTTTCGACAACCGAGTAGAGATACTTAAGCAGTGTTGGATCGTTCAGTCCGATCACTTGGAGCCAATTGAGCCTGTACACATGTTTGGCGAACAGTTCGAAGTTTGTCCTAACATCCTGTGAACCAGCCACAGCCAGTCCTCGGCTCAAAGTGATGGTGATTCCCTTGAGATGAGGGAAGTCAGTTGCCAGGCTGAATGTGTTTCCCATGCAGTATTGCCACCAAGGATTTCTGCAGTGGTATGTTTCTCTTTTCCTCGGTATTATATGCCTCGTGAACGGCATGAGAACGTGGACCCTCTCGATAAAGGGAGCTTGAGCTTGATCTGTAGACCAGCGAAAGAAGTTTGGCGTAGCTGCATCTTCGAAACTGAAAGTATTGGACCGGTAGAGCACTGGTGCAGCTTCACGGTGAATAAACCGACACGTCCTGAGAAGTGCAGGCCAAAGACTTGGGGCTTGCTCAGGACCTTTTGGCCATCTTGTGAAGTTTGGTGACTGCCCGCATCCTAAGTACTGATGGGACATGTAGCTTTCGATTCGTCCGAAGGATCGTCCACAGAGTGCGCAGTGCTTGTAAATGCCAACTCCTTTGCAGTTCCTTTGCCGCTTGAACTGGTTGCTGGGTATTAGGATCTCTGCTGTGCTGTGCAACAGTTGTGTGTATATCATAATGCGGATCTCGAGAGGAAGACCAAAGAGTGTACTTGAGGTCACGGCCATCTCAAGTGAAGGTCTTTTGCTGGGTGCCATAGCTTCTGGAAGAAATGAGAAATGCTCTTCTCAGACGGGCTTTGGGTCGTTCATCGAAACAATCTAGTACACAGCAACGCAGAAAACAAGCTACGGGTCCTGAATACGGTAGAGCTTGTACTTTCTGTCAGGGAACGGCGACGTCAAATAGAAGAGTCGTGTACCATCAACCGGAAGTGATTGAACAGTGCTGACCAACGGAGGAAAACCTTCGATAAGGAGAGAATATCTTGGAAATTGTTTTATGTAGTCTGGCAACAGCTAATTGATGTAATTAGCAACACAATGATGGCATAATTTCCACATGATGGGATGCCAACGGTCAGTAGCCAAAAGTGAGGGGTTCTGACATCTTACGGAAAGGACATTGCGGAGCGTACTTCAGTCTCAGTGGCGCCCCAGTTATGAGGATTTGTCACAAGCTGCAAATCGATTCTTCCTATGCAATATCGAATTGTTGATCTTAGAGCAACATACAACGCTAATCTGTAAAGTGTCTGCTTTAGTGTAAATCACGAGGCAGGGATTGTCAGTTGCGTAGAGCCCTCCTCGTCGCTCAGTTTGCTTGATACCTGTTGCTGCGGTTGATCCCCAATCGCTCTGTACTTGTGAGGCACTGCTTCACCCGGAAATCCCCACCAAAGTAAGCCATTTTTCCAAAGACCTCCTGTTTCATTTGCCTAGGCATGACTTCGCACCTCCCTTTTGCCATTCTTAGAGTCATCCTCTCTGTCCACTAATGATTCGAAGCAGTCAAGCACCTTTTCATGACTCAGCTTCAAGACAAGCACCCAGTCCAGTCCTTGGGACCTCTTTCTGAAAGATTCAGACATCGAGCGTAGAAGATTAGCCTCCTCTGCCCCAAGCCGCAAATGGAGATCGATTGTCATACGCCTGAGATAAGGGAAGTCTTGACCGAGACTGAGCCTCTGTTTCGTGAGGTATGTCACCCATGAAGCGAGCTGTTCGTGATGTTGGCGGGCAAATTTGATCCCGATCTCCTGGATTGCCCCAGCTTGTGCGCAATCAGTGCCCCAGCGGAAGCTGCTCGCAATAGCGGGATCAGAGAAACGGAAACTGTCTCAAATAGAGAATAGGGCTGGCTTAAAGTCGGATAAGACGACAAGTCTGAAGAAGTGATGTTGACAGCTCCGGGAGAAGAGGCCGTACCGGTTCCTGATAGACTGGGTTTGCGCGCCGGTGATGCTTTGCAACATGTTGCACACAGCCTTTGCTACTCAGAAAAATGAGCCCGCAAAACAGGCATTCGTACGGCATGGAACTTGTTCTTCCATAGTTTCTGCGCGCGAAGATGTCGCTGGGGATGAACATGCCCTCCTTCTGAATGGGCAGCAGTCCGTAGATCATGATGCGGACCTCCAACGGGATTTTAAAAAGAGAGCTGGCACTCACATCTACCTCGAAAGCTGGTCTATGCTGACGAGGCATGGTGGTCAGTAGCCCTAAAAGTGTCGAAGGTACACCTTGGTACGAAGAGCATTGCGGGGTGGAGCGAGAACTTGAGCTGCAGCATCCGACTTCAAACCTCGAGCATCTTTTGAAGAACCATGAACGAACAGACGACGAACAGCTAAGAATTGGAGTGAGACGTTGAGGTGGAGCATAGGACTTCAAGTCACGGGAATATCCCCAAGGACAGAAGGTCAGATGGTACACGCTATAGCTAGAAGCTGGGCCCAGATAGAGAGCGTATCGATCAACCCTGACCCAGAGCTCGAACACTAGATCGGGTAATGAATTTCGAGAACTCGGTGTACTCTACTACCCGGCAAAACGAGGTCTTGTGAGGTGGTGCAGAGGGAGATGAGACCGGCTGGTGCTTGATATTACGGTGATGATTGCGCCTAGTTTCTTTATCAGTACATTATGTGAAAAAGCAATCCGGGAGGTGTCGGTGTAGGGGCAGACCCGTTCATTATTATAAATTATGAACAGGTCTGAGAAGTGAGTGGGGGGTCCTCAATCTATCAAAAGTCCTCAATCGATCAAACGTTCAGATTTAACTCAGCAATGCTTGCTTAACAATTTCATGCTGCCGACAAAGAATCCCCATCTCTCTACACTTCCTCGAATCAAATCTATCTAGCAATCCTTTGACCTATATCCGCCATATCCAGCTCCTCCATTACCCCTCGAATCCTAGGCTCCCCTGTTGAAGCTGTCGTCACACTCTCTCCACACAATGGCCCCTCCCATGCATCAACAAGCCTCATCCCGCACCCATTCCACCACCACTACGGCGGCCACAGCTACGCAAACCCTAACATCAACACCCGTTCTCCGCCTGCGTGCTACAGCTCCTTCACCGCAGAACCGGAGGCGGATACAATGGGCTGAAGACGTCGTCGACAATGAGGGACTGGGGCGGAAGACATCGAAAGGTTCGTGCATCTACGCCCGGTGGCCCCTTTCTCCTACTACGAGGCCACGACTGACTGACTGACACGGTACGACGATCTAGTCTGCTGTATCTACCACGCTCCCCGCCCCGTCGGCGAATCCTCTTCCGAATCCTCCTCGGGCTCCTCTTCGGACAGCGACTCCGCGGGCGACGACAGCGGGAACAACGATGGCCGGGCGCGAATGGGCGGGAAGGTTAAAGCGAAGAAGCAGAGGCATCGGCACGGTGAGCCGGGCGAGGGCTGTGGGCATGATCACGGTGATGGGGGACGAGGGGAAAGTGTGACGGGGAGGGTGAAGAGGAAGGGTGCGAATGCTTATGAGACGGCGCCGAAAGTGAAGACGGCGGAGGTCAAGCCCTGAGGTGTCAGAAAGAGGAGGTCGGTGTGCTCCGTACAGTGCAGAGCATGGGCAGGCGTTCTAAAGGGATCATTGCCCATAAGATTCGGCAGTGAGCTCGAGGGACTGGATCCTTTCTGTCGGTTGCTCGATTCGTCGATGGGCCGGAAAGTATCATGTCGACTTCCCTGTGGCTAAAAGTCGCCGAGATTGAAAAAAAGGTTCGGGTCTGGAGAAGCGGCTTTTGTGGCTTTTCCTTAGCTTTTCCCCCCGTAAATGCCAATGTCGAAAGTTCGGGCAGGCAAACCCCACGGGGCAGCCTTTCGGAAGCATGTTCAATGTCATCACAACAATGAGAGCTGCAGGTCTAGAGGCTGGGCGTCCGGGACGTTGCGCAAAAGCCTGGCGGATCATTGCCGTCTTCGAGCAGAAAGCACACGAGCAAGTTCGGACGGGACTCGCTGGAACTCAACGATAAGCGTTCAGGGATCACCCGATGGTGCCCGGATGACGTGCAGGAGACCTTCGGCATTGAAAAGGCTCGATGCGGCAGGTGCTGAGCTTAGTTCGACGACCTTCAATACGCAGGGTTGGTGATGATTGGTATATGCTTATTTGTGCTATGCGTCTTATATACGAGTACGTGCGAATCAAATGCTCAAAACTTCATACGCTCGTACACCACATGACTCGAATTTGCCAGCGAGATTATGCAGAATAATTCCAAAGATACAATGCAGTAGGCAGACCTATCAGACGTTTGGAGAAGATAAGGAAATATGCAGAGTTCATGTATTCACTCCCTTAGTTCGCCCAGCCACCTGCTCAAGTTGCCTTGGCGGCGAATCCGATTTCGGGCGTGCTGGCACCGTTGAACACTACGAACTGCGACTTGAGGAAGATGTCACCGTAGATAGAGAAGCCAATGCCGGCATTTGATTGAATACCACCGAAGCACTCTGTAAGTTTGTTAGGATGTGTCCAATAACAGAGGCAGGGTGAGAACTTACGGCTGCCAGTTGCTGGGGCATAGTTGATGTAAGTTCCTGGAACAACGGCTTTGTAGCTTCCGATGCCAAGCGTAATGCTTGGTAGAGTAGCAGAGCACGGGAAGATATAACCTCCTTGGGATGCACTGTTGGTGGCACCGGAGACCTTGGCGTAGTAGGCCGTGACAGCTGCGGCTGGGAGATACAGAAGCGTGGTACCGGTGTCGGCGATGGCGTCAATCGACGACGAGACGAACCTTCCAGAGCCGACAGCATAGCCGTTTCCGGTGAATTCCCAGAATCCATTGGCGGTGTTTACAGGGACGTAAGTGATGCTGCCCGTGTATTCGGAGGAATCAATGTAGCCAAAGTTGTAATTGCCCGGGTTACCTTTCTTCAGATTTGCAGTGAAGAGAGGAGAAGCAAGAGTGGGTATGGCGTTTTCGAAGAATGTCGCCACCTGGTTTGGGCTCGCTGTATTGATGCTATCGAACGCAAGGCCAAGTAGCCCGTCGCTTGCGGCATCGGACTGGAACTCTGCGCTGATTGTTTCCGCTGCCTCGACAGCCTGGCTGGTCACGGTGGTACCACCAACCACGACTTTATCGATGTAAACGTTGCCTGATGCGCTGCTTCCATCGCCATAAGAAATGCTCCACGTCTCTCCACTGTCTACTTTTCCGGATGTGGAAGGATTGTAGAGAGTGTGGCCACTCTGCTCGTTTGTGGGAAGCTCGGTTGAGAACACCCATCTTCTGGAATTCAGTATTTGCAAGTTTGTGGGCTACGGGTGCTTATGAATGCCGCTTACAAGTCAGATGACCCAGTGTCAAAGTCCAGGTTCAAAGTCGTTCCACCAATAGTCACAGGACACAGATACTCAGCGTCGTATTCCTCCGGACTGGCGGTCACAGTACCATCATTGTTTGCAGCGGCGGCGGCGATGACAGCGGGTACCGCCTTGCCGTATTTGGCGTAGGTTTTGGCCATGGCAGATGGACCAGACAGGATGAATGGCTTCTGTACCGTCTGATCGAGCCTGAAAGCCGCACCGCCCTTCTTGAGCTCAACCGGGACAGCAGAAATAAGAGAGATGAGGGCCGAAGCCGCGCCAAGGGCTCTGATGAAGCTCATGATGTATGTGAAGGACTGGTCTTTAGACTGGGACAGATGTATTGTAAAGGTGGAATTGAAAGCCGTGAGTTGAAGACTGGTGAATGAGGCATTTCGAAAGGGGAATTGAAAGACTCTTTATAGACAGTTTATGATCATCACTTGGGAAGCAAAAAAACGCTAAGGCGTCTATTTACCACCTGAAGGCAACCATGATGAAATGATGCCGATTGTTCCTGCAGATGAAGTAGCCAATTGAAGTTTGTTATGTAGCGCTTCACGGAACCGTGGTCGATCACCGTTGAGTTTTGCCTCATATCGCCGCGGTATTGGTCCGCGAAGAGAAGGTCAAAAGCAGCTCGGTTAGGGAAAGGGGCAGGTCATTGCCAGCTGAGCATGTCGACGGTAGGATGTTGATGGCGAGCTTGAGAATTAGAAGCATGTGATTAAGGATAGAGACATACCAATCATATGATGTACAAGACAAGATGATATCGCACTTATCACGGAGGGGCAAGAACTTGCCGAGTTTGGAAGCTGGGGAAACACTCGGCGAACGGGAGGAAAGCTTGGTGAGCAAGAGGAGGAAAGAGCGAAGGATTGTAGTGGCGAAGATAGAAGAGCCCATTGTGGCTGCTGCAGAGAAGCTTTTGACGTCTTCCACGAAAAAAAGCCACTGACCATGTCTCTCTCATTGGTGGAGATTGAAAATTAAGGGAATAAAAGGCATGAATGCGAGGAGGCCTCGGAGGAGTCCTGCCTGTAGCAAAGTAGCTGATAAGGTTGCGCCGGTGGCAAGGATTGAATGGCTTTGAATGTGCCTACTTAAAACAGCGGACCGCTCCGCTCATATTCTTATCTCGACTTGTATCGTGCCCTACTACCAGTCTCCAGCTGCCAAGCTCGTCGTTCCTCCTCCGAAATCATCCTCCTACATATTCACGAGCAATGCAAGTCGATCAAGGCTGTTGATCTCTCGCCCTAGAATACGGATATTCACGGTAGATGATAACCTCATCCTTTCCGAGTGGCATTGCCATTCAGGCACCTCCATTTGTTGAATATCTGTTGCTTTCCCAGCGCAGCATGCGAAGTATCTGAAATCAAAGCGCCCTTTTTTCTTATATTGTAAAGAAAAAACATGAAAACTTTGCCCCTTGTTTCCGCGTCTATGATCTGATGCTAAGTCTGGAAGCCTCACAAGTACCTGCATCCGAACTCCCCTTTTCGGCCTAGGCCCTCAACCGGAGGATACTCGCGCAGTAAACACCCTATTTTTGGGGGGGCAAATTCTTGCGCCTTCTTCTGGAACGTTCCCCGAAGGTGTGGCAGCTGGGGTTGAAATATCTCCAATC